TAAAAGATACTCTGACGCTCAAGTCAGTAATTAATCCTATCAGGGGTCAAAGTAAAGTCTTAAATTCGTTATAAATGCAATCACTTACCTTCTTATATTTGACCTTTATTTATAGTTTTTTGGATGAGACTAGGATTAGTGAAATCATATTCACAGCCCAATCCTAATCCATTGTTTATTAAATAACACTTACCATTAATCTTGATTTAGAATGATATTTTAGGAATGTTTGTTTGTCAAAGACGTCCATTATGTATGGCCAATCATCTTCTACCGTCCTAGTCCGATCACTGGGCGAGGACAACTTTAAATATAAAACAAACTATATTCTATTATTTAATTTTTTTATATTAAATTAACTTTTCTTTATTACATCTATAACAACTATTAATTAATAATAAGATTGGTCTTTCAATTTTTTTCATATATTTTTTTTTTACTTTTTTACTTTTACCTAAATCATTGTTAACATGATTTTAATAAATTAATTGATATGCTTTGATCATATCAGCCATACAANAGTGTAGAATCTCTTGGTGAGATTCCAAGTAGTTTAGAATGAATGCAGGAGCTCAGTCTTGAGGGTTATCCTGAAACTCCAATGGTCTTTCATTCTCAAGTAGAGAGGATTGAATCATGTCGTGAGGAGTAGCAGAAGGTCTTAGCCTTGGGGGCTTCCAGTATGACTCAAGGCCCGGAACAGACTAACCTCATGAGTGTGGTAGGGTGAAACCCATTGGCAATGACTTTGCAAAGCAGTAGAGGCCACCACGAGTGCATGATCCGCCATAGCTCGGCAATCATTCTAAGTCCGGACGAGTCTAGTCTAGAACATAACATGCTAGGATGTTTGATTCAGTTACTTTGCTTGAATTATATTGTGTATGTTATATGCTATTAAATTGTATGTTTTCCTGTGTATCTAGCTTACCCTTGCTTTTCTGTGTCTGTCTTTGTATGTTGTTTCTCTTTTGCGATGATCACCTAATGGTGTGAGCTTAGGGATTCACCTTTTCAGTTATTCCAGCTACAAGTGGGGGAAGAAACAAATGAGTTGTTAGATAAATCTACAGAAGTAGATATCTTCTTTGTGCGAGGTTTGTTTTATCTAGTTGTTCTTTTAGCATCTATGTAACGTTTCATTTTTGGTAGTATTATACTATTAAAATGGGATGTTACACTTTTTATTAAGCATAATTTTGTTAATAAGTTACAAAATTATGCTTATACCGGTTCCACATTGGTTCTCAAATGTTCTTACAAGAAACACTTCTTAACTACCTTCTCCTTCTTCTCAATTCGAGAAATATCTAATTAAACCACTACGAAGACTGAAATGTCTCTCTTCATGTTCTCCAAGGTGTTAATGGTCAAAATGCATACAAAGACACTTTGACTTTTAAATTAGGCATGTACTTACAAAAGCAATAAATGTTAGATTGAATACATAATGCTTACCTAATGAACAATGCTATTCATAGTACTTTTGTATGTTTATTCTTGGATGGACTTAGATAGAATCCTTTTTAAGTGATTGAAGGGTTTGTTAACTTGATGTGTTCAATAATCCTTGTTGCTTATCTAATCTTGACTAACCATATTAATCTTGTATTAGAAAGTCAACTATATTATTGTTATAACCAAAATATTTGTACGAAATGATGTCATTTTTAGACTAATGGTATCTATTCAGTCTTAAACAATACATTTAGTCTAGTACATGTTAATCCTAAAGTTAATATCAAAATAATCACAAGTTATTTTTTCAATCAGATTAAACTTTATTTATTTTAATTAAAAATAACTAGAAAAATGAGTTGAATAGGTTAATAATAAATTGTAAATCAATAATAAATTTAATGGGCTATTATTTTCTATAATTTTAGTTGGCACATTTTAAAATTTCATAAATATAATATTTAATTTGATGTATATTGTATTTATCTTGTTCTGATCCAATCAAATCTTAAATCTAAAATACTCACTGGAAATACCGTTTTGATTAATTAAAACGAAAATACATATGCAAAATTAAAAATTGATTCAAAATTGTAGATTTTGTTTTAACAGGAGAATAAAAGTACGAAAAAAATAAACGTCATATAATCGCTGATAAAAGAAAAACAAAATCACTATTTAACTTGAAAAAGTTAAATATAATTTACAAATAAACTGAAAAAATAAGAAAGTAATTTTATTGCATTCAAAGTCATAGGTGGGACCAGAGTTCACCCAGAAACTCAACTGCATCTTCTAGAAAAGCCTAAGAAATAACAAAAATCAAACCACACATACAACGCTCTCTTTGTCTTCTTTTCTAAACGCGCTTTGCCTCGTCAAACTTAATTTCTTTTTCTTTCAGGCTAAGCCACACTCCCCATCCAAGAAACAATCCACAAAGCAAAACTATTGAGATTCGCTATAAACAAATAAAAATTAAATACTATTTTAGTTTCTATTTCCGTTGATATTTTCTTTTTATGTTTAATTTGATTTATATTAGATAAGTACTATTTCTTTTTATTTTTTTTCATGATACTATCAAAATTGTTAATAGAAGAATAATCATGTTTTGTTACCTGTTAATTTGTGGTTTTTTAGAAAAAAAATAATTTTGTATTAATTTTTAAAAATTTATTAATTTTAAAAGAATTGTGAATGTGTTAAGTCAATATTGTGTTTTTCTTCGTATGTTTAATTTGATTTCTATTTGGTAAGTAATATTCCTTTTTATCTTTGTTTCATGATACTGTCTAGATTGTTAACAGAAGAATAATCATGTTTGCCACATGTTAATTCGTGGTTTTTTAGAAAAAAAAATTAACTTTGTATTAATTTTTAAAAAAATTTATTAATTTAGAAAGAATTTCCTGAGGCACATGTAGTTTCATTGTCTTTAAGGATTTATTAGTGGTGTTTTTCGTAAATTCCTTAGATACAACAAGAACTTTCAAAATATTTTTGAGGATCCCAAAACTAGTCAGAATCTCTAAAAAGCGTATAAAAAATAAACCCATAATATTTTCGAAAAGGAAAAGAGAAAAGAATGAAACTTAACAAGAGAAGAGAATGAGAGAAAATTGATTTTTGATGTGTTTTGGAATGAAGGAAAAACTCTCTATTTATGTAGCTATGGAAGAATCAATTTAAGATGCAAACAAAATTGATCGTTGGCAAAATTAATGTTGTAAAGTTAACTTTAAAAAAATTTGAATGTTGGCAAAATTAACGTTGATAAAAAATGAAGGTTGGTAAAACATTCTTTAACCGAAAATATTATGTTTTTTTTGCAATAATTATTATTCTAACTTACAACAATCCTCCACATATTGCAAAAGAAAGTTGAAAGAAAACTTTTAGCGAAATAATTCTAATAATTAAACAAACAAAATCCTGGGTCTCATAGGATGTAATGCATCATCAGAGAACAAGTTATATAAACCAGCCTTAGACTGAGAAACATAACACACAATGTAATTGGTATAGCAAACTATATGAACCAAAGACATTTGACATATGTTATAGGTTTCTCAATCACAATACACCCCACAATCCTTGTTGTTATCATTGTGTTGCGCTTACTAGGTCATGTGCGTACCCGGTATTCATGCCAAGATCTCATGCAAGCGACCCCACTTGAAACTCATATAGGTGATTTCATCAAGTGTATACTACAAATCATACACCACCCATAAGGGATATGAAAATCATTAAAACTTTGTTTAGATTAAAATTCTTTCACCACATGTTCCTCGTGGTCACCATTGGGTCTTCTGGATTACTCGACCCCACGGTGGGTGCCAAAATGTTTTGGGTGCAGGATGCCAAAATGTTTTGGGTGCAGGATCGAGGATCCGCACAAAACACGTCTTCACACCTTGATCCAAGTTAGCTTAGGTAATTATGTGTGCCTTCGTCAAAATCCTTTTTTTACTCGTGCTCCAAATAGTTCAAGGATACCTCTTAAAAGATACTCTGACGCTCAAGTCAGTAATTAATCCAATCAGGGGTCAAAGTAAAGTCTTAAATTCATTATAAATGCAATCACTTACCTTCTTATATTTAACCTTTATTTATAGTTTTTTGTATGAAACTAGGATTAGTGAAATCATGTTCAGAACCCAATCCTAATCCATTGTCTATTAAATAACACTTACCATTAATCTTGATTTAGAATGATATTTTAGAAATGTTTGCTCGTCAAAGACGTCCATTATGTATGGCCAATCATCTTTTACAGTCCTAGTCCAATCAGAGGGTGAGGACAACTTTAAATATAAAACAAACTATATTCTATTATTTAATTTTTTTATATTAAATTAACTTTTCTTTATTACATCTATAACAACTATTAATTAATAATAAGATTGGTCTTTCAATTTTTTTCATATATTTTTTTTTACTTTTTTACTTTTACCTAAATAATTGTTAACATAATTTTAATAAATTAATTGATATGCTTTGATCATATCAGCCATAAAAAAATACGCTATATATTAATGATAATAAATAATCGTTTGAATTATAGTATGTTTTCTCCAACACATATTTCATATTCTGTATGTATAAAAGTCCTCGGAACATGTTAAACACTTGCAATGATGTCTCAGTTCATTTATCGTGTTTAAATAAATAATTAAAATTATTTAATATCTAAAATTTTACTAATAATTTATTTTCATATACATTTTCCTTTTAGGTAGTTAACTATAAATAATTCTAAAATCTTCAGAGTTAGGTTATCTGTTATATATTTTTTTTTTCTAATTAATTAAAAAACGTAGTTTATCATTAGTTATAAACAAAATAAACTGTAGAAGAAAAAAAAATTCAACATTTTATATAAAATTTGGTTCCCACGGTTTACTTGTATCAAAATCATCCTTTTGACAATTACGCGCAAAAAGTAAGGCCCACCCAATTTGTTAACTTTCCTGGAAATTTCACAGCTTTCATCAATCTTTATTTAACAAGTTTCTGGCTTCTTCTTCAACCATTATCTCCTCTCTCTCAACAACAACACAACACTTGTTCATTCTTCCTTTTCTTCTCTCTTTGACCATGGACAACACCAATGACTTCTGGAAATTCAGTGACCAGTTGAGGCTTGAATCTGGTTTGGCCAATCTGTCTCTCAATGAATTTTCCATTTGGAGCAACAGCTACAGCTCCAAGAGGCCCGATCAGAGGAGAAACTTTGATGTGAGTGACACTGATTTCATCAACAACAACTCCTCAAAGTCTCATGATTTGAACGATGGGTGGAACATAACCAGTTCCAATGGAACCCTTTTCTCTGTGCCTCAAAACAACAACAATCTTGGAGTTGGAGGCTTCAACAAGGGAGGAATCTATTCAAACAACACCACCACCTCCTCTTATCCTAATCTTAACAACAACACTCTCGGAGGCTTCAACAAGGGAATCTATTCCAACACCCCACCTTCTCCTTATCTTAACCTTAACAACAACAACCACCATCTCAACACGAATCTCAAGGGCTACAAAACATTCTTTAAGGCTGAAGATCAGTTTCACACACCCAAAAGTTTAAAGAAAAACAGCAACAACACCAACAATAACAACAAAAAGTACGGAGACAACAACACTAGTAACGATGCCACTAAGACTGCTTCTGAGAAAAAATTCAAAACACTGCCACCAGCAGAGTCTCTGCCTAAGAATGAAACCATCGGAGGCTACATCTTTGTTTGCAACAACGATACCATGGCAGAGAATCTCAAAAGACAGCTCTTTGGTGAGTCCCCTCTCTCCTTTTCACTTTTCCTCTCTTTAACAAATCTTCTGTTTCTGTAAATCTTGTGAGGAATTGACTGAGATATCAATAATAATTTTATTAGAGAAAGACAGTCTTTTCACCCCAAATCAAATAAATCATTTGTTGCTGTCTCTTCTTCATTTGTGATTCTAAATGGTTTTGTTGATCGTATTCTTTTCTTTTGTGCTTTGCAGGTCTGCCTCCACGATATAGAGATTCAGTTAGAACAATAACTCCAGGGTTGCCCCTTTTTCTGTATAACTACTCCACTCACCAACTCCACGGTATCTTCGAGGTATGTGTGTATACTTTCCTTCTTTAGTTTGTGGCTTCACTTCAATTTTTTGGAAATCAAGTAATGAATTAGGCCATCACTTTTACTAATAGCAGCCGTGTTAGTGACAACAATAATAACTGTTTTTTGGGCTTTGTTCAGGCTTCAGGTTTTGGAGGAACCAATATTGATCCAACAGCTTGGGAGGACAAGAAGTGCCCTGGTGAATCTCGTTTCCCTGCTCAGGTATTTATCATCTAATCTCCAATCTAATTAATTGTATAATATATACACAACTTATGCTGACAATGATTACATAAGTTTAATTAGAACATACTCTAAATGTAAAAGTAAAGTCTTACAGATCATTTAACCAATGTGTAGGGTTTGTTATCCATGTAAGTTTATTGAGTTTCACAACAATTATCTTATTGAAAAGTGATTTAAAGATGATTTCTGCTCAGCTCACAGTGCTGAAAGTAGTAATTAAACTCTAATTGTATTACTTGGTTTTACTAACTCTTACGAATTTTCCATACATGATGTTTACAGGTTCAAGTGATTACTAGGAAAGTTTGTGAGCCACTGGAGGAGGATTCCTTCAGACCAATTCTTCATCACTATGATGGTCCTAAGTTTCGTCTTGAGCTGAGTGTGCCTGAGGTAAGCATCAATTTCTTGAAGATATATTAATGTGTTTAGTTTAACATTTAAGTTCTGAGATGTGCCTTTCGAACATGAAAAATGTTCAAAATAAGCTCAATTTGAATGTGGATTATAAATCCGTATTTGACTTGATCTGACACAGACATGTATTTACTTATGCTGCTTAAAATGTGTGTATGGTAAACTAAATTGTATTTTTCTTAACTATTTCAGGCACTGTCTCTCCTGGACATATTTGCAGACCAGAACAGTTTCGATGATGTTTTCAAGGCCATTCCTGCATAGAAGGGTGGACAATACAGATTATAAAGAAGAGAAATTACACGAACAATGAAATCTTGGACTCATTAGAATCTTTAAGACAATGAATTCAGCCACTATATATTTATTATGTGTTGCAAGTATAGGGGCTATTTGTATAGAGGCTGATATGCCTGGTTGCTGCCCATTTTTGTTGTTATGGGAGTATATGAACATCACATAAAAAGTACACAATAAAAATGAACTAACTTTTGCTTGTGGTTATTATTATGAAAAATTACAACTTGAAGGAAAGGTCTGCATGTTCTAAACTTATGCACTAATTGCTGATATGAAACTCTACTTAAGTAAGTAATGACTGTTTACTTTTAATTAGTCATAAACTAATCTTTTTTGGAGAACTGTAACTGTCCTTAATAGGTTCATGAGTTTTTACACACAATGAAGCTTCAACATGAATTTTTTTTATTCCAAATGATTAACTACTGCATTAAGCATCAAGTTAATAAATGGTGAATGTGAGGCACTGATTTAAATGTTCCATTTGCAGAGGAGATTTAATTTATGGAAAATGCTAACCACATTCCATGATGTTGAATAAGAAATTAAAAGAAACAGGGTTTCATGATGATAAATATATATATATATATATATATATGGGGTTTGCTAACGCGCGTACGCCTGTTTTTCAGTTGGTACATTTTAGCAATGTGTACCGGATTTTAGTAGACAAAAATATCTTTATATATCATGGATTCTAAGTTTTAAGGTTAAGGGTATTTTAATAATTTTCATTCTCAAAACTTAAAAAAAAAAAAAACCCCCAAAGCCTTACTCAGTTCTCTCATTCCTTTCAATCCTTTCTCTTTCATCTCTCTCATTCCAACCTTTTCTCTGTCATCCCTACTGTAGCTCCAATTGAAAAAAAAAATCAGAAACACTTGTTTTTAAACAATTTGCCTTTGTAAAGAGTTGAGTCATTGACATATTCACCTTGAGGCAAATATTCATTCAAGATCTCTTCAATTTCACCATCTTCATTAACCTCTCTAATTTCATCATCTGCATATGTTGAATCTACATCTCTAAAAAAACCCTCCAAGCCAATTACCAATTCTTTTGGATGTCATTATCCTTGTAAAAAATAGATAAAATTATATACGACAAAAATTATAAAATGAAAACTCATTATAAAGTCATTTTTTTTGTAAGAAATTGTTTAACAACGAGTGTTTCTGATTTTTTTTCATGTCAATTACCAATTCCTTTGATGTCATTATGTTTGTGAAAATTAGATAAAATTAGATAAAGACAAAAATTATAAAATAAAAACTCATTATAAAATTATTTTTTGTAAGAAATTGTTTAACAGTGAGTATTTCTGATTTTTTTTCAGGTCAATTACCAATTCCTTTATGCTTGTAAAAATTGGATAAAATTAGATAAGACAAAAATTATAAGATGAAAACTCATTATAAAATCATTTTTTTGTAAGATTGTTTAACGACAAGTGTTTTTGATTTTTTCAATTGGGGCAAAGGGATGACAGAGAAAAGATTGGAGTGAGAAAGATGAAAGAGAAAGGGTTGAGAGGAATGAGAGAGGTGAGTAAGGGTTTGAGGGTTTCTTTTTTTTTTTTAGTTTTGAGAATGAAAATTATTAAAATACCCTTAACCTTAAAACATAGAATCCATGATATATAAGGATATTTTTGTCTACTAAAACCCGGTACATATTGCTAAAATGTACCAACTGAAGAACAGGCGTACGCGCGTTAGCAAACCCATATATATATATATATATGAATTTTAAGATTTGAATCAAAATCAAAGGAACATAATTTTGTGGTTAATTTTAGGATTGTTAGAGCATGGGTTGTTAATTGCATTATGCATGTTGTTTATCAATAAATTTTATTTTAGAGTTGGGTTGTTCAAATTTAAAAGAAAAAGATACTTACACAAGAAATTATGTTTATGAGTTTATGTAATTAAAACAAATATTATGTAATTATTCTATGTAGTTAACATACTAAAGGCAAAACGTGTCTGAAAGATAGTACAACTTATTTCGAGCAAAGTACTGAAAAAGCAAATCTTCTTTGATATGTTGATTTTAACCAACGACTATTTCACCGCAAGATAGAGAAGACACAAGATTCAAGACTAAGAGCTCAATCTAACGGATATCTTTTGAAAAAAAAGTCTTTAAATAGAAGATCATTCAAAGGAAGAATAAAGACGATAACTTACATCGTAAATATCAATCCTACGAAAAGCGTTTAGATTAAAGCACAAAAAAGATCAAACTGAAAGAGAATATGAGAGAAGAGAAAAAGAAAAGTCAAGAAATACTCTCAAGTTTCATTGTAATATTTGCTTACTATTGTAAAAAGAGAGAAAAGAGAAAAGAAAGAAACACCTAACCAGTCTATAGACTGTATTGTATTGAACACATATCTTCTCTATGAGAGTAATCGTCTAACGACTTGTAAGGAAAAGCTGATTGCAATTATGAAGAGAATTAAAACACTTGTGAAATTCGTACAAGTTAACGAAGTTTAAGTAACGTATTAGAGGATACTAGAATTTTCTAGTACCAGGCATAGTGAAACTCAACCAGTCTAGGGTAACAGCAGTTATTCGCTAAGGATATCAGGAGTGGTCAAGAATACTGCACAACTATAAGTGGATGAACTCAACTAGGTAGCGTGTTGGGTGATACCAAGAGTGCCTAGGGATACCAGAAGTGTTGAGAATACTCAGCTGTAATCTTGTTGAAGATTATAGTGGAACCCTCTAAGGATAAAGGAGACAAGACATAACTTAGTTGGAGTGAACCAATATAAAATTAGTTGTGCATTTATTATTTACTTTTGTCTCAACGCTTCTCTCATAAAACTTTTAGTTACAATTTCGTTTTAAATACAACAACTTCCCATACTAAAAAATTGTACACTAAAAAGGAAGTTGTTAAACAAAGCTCTTAACATATCATAGTCCTTAAAATATTATTGGGTTTTTCAACGACGATTCCCAGTATAACCATTGTCGTTTCCCATCCCCTAAACTTTTAATAATTGTGGTCATGAAGTTTCTTTTATTCTTTTGTCACTACTCTTTTTAACCGTCTTATTTTGCACTAGTGTAAATGTTAAAAAATCAAATTAGTAGTTGTTTATGAAAATATCAAACTTCTTACACTTTGATGTCTTGGCGAAGTGAAGTTTATTTACACTAGTACAAAAATCACGTACAATATCGAATATTTTGGGCTTTTAATGGCGAATTCGCGAATGATGTCATATAAGGAGACGTTAAATTGACGTCAAATTTAAAAAATTTGACGTTAAATTAACGTCGAATTTTATCAATATACGACGTTAACTTAACATCGAATTTTGTTAACATAGGACGTTAATCAATTTTTTTGTGTTTTTTTTAATTAATTGTGATCCTTTTTTACAGCTCTACGAGACTGAAAAAGTAGGAAAACAACAAATTTCAGTTTTTGATATTTTATAAAACAAGAACTATGAACGTAGTATCAACAATAAACAACAATAATCAACAACAAACAAGTTCAATTGAACAACAACAACAAACAAGTTCAAACAAACAACAACAAACAAGTTCAAAAAAAAAATAACAAACAAGTTCAACAAATAAGTTCTTCAAAACGAAAACGAAAACTAACCTTCAAAAGATGGGTTCGTTAGAATAAAGTGTCGTCACTGATGACAAAGAAAGTAGAATGTGCCTATGAAGAACAAAAGCACGAAAATAATCGGTCAAAACAAACGAAAATCATACATAAAATGCATTTGTATCAAATGAAAGAAAGATTACATATGATGGTCATCAAACTTCGTTCGAGAAAAGTTTGAGAAGAGAAGAGGGTGTCGCGCGCTAAGATAAAATGAATGAATTTTCGATCTCCCGCTCAAATTTTTATTGAATTCACTAACCTTTTGACGTTTAAAGCTGAAACATTCGACGTTTTATATCATTTTACGTCAAATTACAATTCTAAACGACGTTTAATAATTGCATTTATTTACAAAAATGTTTATTCAATGATTGGACGTTAAACGTGTGACGTTATACGCTATTTTTGTACTAGTGTTAAATGTTGATTTTTTAGTTAGGCAAAACTGTTACATCAAGCAAGTGTAATGGGATGACCTAGCATTGCTTTCAACCTAACAATTGCATGAATTGAAGAGGAAGCATCTTTCTCTGGTTTGATCAAAGATTTGGACCACATCTCTTCGTAGACTAAGTAAATTATATATAAAATTTCTTGCATAAATAAACTAAACAATCGTTTGATAAACTATATTTTACTTAAATATTTATGGAGTATGGATGAACTGTGGTTTAGAATTATCCAATAATCCTTCCAGATTTTCGCATCTAAATTTATAAAGAAAGATCACAAATATTGCAGTTATTATTACTTGTAGGTATAGAGATGTCTAATATAGCTGATATGTGAAATGATATATCTCAAATATTAGAATAGTTAAGAGATTAAAATACGTTTAACATGAGTTTTACAAAAAAAATATTGCATGTATTATAATTAGTTCCAATTAAATCTATTTTTAATTCTTATCTCTTTTTACCTTCCACGTATATAGATAGAGTGCATTTATATTTTTCCTAAAAAATAATTGAAAGTTTGAATTAGTTGAATATAAGAGCATGGCTTTCTCAGAAGTAGTAAAATAAACAAGAAAAAGCATTATATATAAGTAATTATATTTTATTGGTTATTGATTATTTTTGGAAAATTAAGTTCATAAGCGAGTTAGAAGTTCTTAAGTTGATTTTAAATTAAAAAAGTAAAACCAAACTATAAAATTAGAAATAGTTAACGCATAAAAATTACAAATGTTTAACAAATTTAATTGTTAAAGTGTAACAAAATAATCAATTGTTAATGCAAATTATAGATATAGATGATACATAACGACATTCATACAAATTCCTTATCTAATTGTTTTTAATAGGAAAAAAAATACTTTTATATATAACTTAAGCACACTCATTGTATAATATATATTCTTTTCCTTTTAATTATCTAATCAAGAGATGTAGTTTTCTTAATTATTCTCATCTAACATTCCTTCAATAAGACAATAAAATACTTGAAAAATAATCCTGATAAGAAATACTTTAGTATTATATTATATTATATTATATTATAATATATATATATATATATATATATATATATATATATATTAGTATCTTTTTCTA